TCATCTGCTGGGCGGAACTCCAAGCTTTCTTTATGAAACAGGTTGATGTATGATTTTATTCTCGTAATATTACAACTTTATTCTGATAAAAAGATAAAAAATAAATAAATCCCTAGTCTGGCCCTAATACTCCGTCGTACCAACTTGTCTGAATAAATTAAGAAAAATAAAAGTGCTTCTATAAGAAATTCATGAAAAACACAGAGTGAAAGAAACACCTTTTTTTTTGGTCTAACATAACCTTAGAGGCATTAATGCTGATACTGGCACTGACATTTTTAGTTTATAAACCTAAATATAATTGTTAACAAGGCTCATTAACTTTTTAACTTTATCTTTTTAACTTTTTACCTTTTTTCTTGACTTAATTTTTTTTAGCTTAATTTCCAGTAGTTAATCTATCATTCAAGGGCTCATCTAATTGGTCAAATACCAAAATAAGACGTACAGCCATGTAGCAGGATCTATGCTGAATGACTGGATATAGATCTAGTGTTTCTAGACCTCAAGTCTAGAGGCAAGTGATCAAAAACACTAACTTGCCCTATTAAGGGGTTAAAGGTCATATCTAAGTTGATTATTTCTTTTTTAATAAAACAGCCACAGAACCTTTTCTAGTGATGCAGAATTGAATTATTGGTTGTATTGAATGTTTTATAAACTTTAACCGATCCAAATCTATAAATGTTAACTTCTGGTTGGGATTCTGTTTTTATTTAATATTATTTTTTTTATTTATTTTTTTTATTGGGATTCCAACATGAACAGGAAAAGATTCAGCACTAATCCTCTGATCAGGTGAGTTAAATGTTTATTTGGTTTTGTTAGCGGACCTGGGAACGGCCCGGCAATCAGAACCAGAGCCGGTGAGAGCGCCCCCTGCTGGTCAGGAGGAGTTGGACTTTTAGCTGCCTCTTTAGGAACCACCGTTAATGACGTCACTGCCAACATTTGTCAGAACCACTCGGACTGGGTTGGGTTCTGGACCAGAGTCTGGGTCCTGGTTAATTTCCGCCTGGAGTTCTTCGCTGAAATGGATCGGAGCCATCTGTAGCGTTCTGTGTGAATCGGACTGGATGTTCTGGAAGGTTCTCCTTAGGTTCCACATCACCATAAAGCTCCTGCTAGGTTCTGGTTCTACTGGATCTAAGAGCAGCACCAGATCCAATTAGAGACCAGAGAGACAATTTATGTTCTGGTTCTGTTGAATATGACCCATTTTAATGTTCTGAATACAGAGTTCCAACACCAACCAATCCACAGGCTGGAAGCTCCGTGAAGGCTCCGCCTCCACAATGACCCCGCCCCCATGATGGCCCCGCCTCCATGTTGGAGCTCAGAGATGGTTGCATTAATGTCCAATTCAAACGCAGTTCATCTAGTTCTACTTCTGCTCGTCACTTCTTCCTTCTGACCACGGTCCAGCCGTCATCTTCATCCTGAGGAGGAGGAGGAGGAGGAACGCCGCTGACCGACGGACTGGACGCCTCCACCTCCATCACCTGCAGACACACAGAGATGGTTACTGGACCAACAGCAGCTTCAGACTGGTCACATACTGCTCCTCACAGGCGCCCTCTAGTGGACAAACAGCTACCGTGCATTACACGCAGACTGTGATGTCACCGGAAATGGGCGGGGCTATTTTAAATTAACTCTACAGAAGCGGAAACGTCTCCAGGCATTAACAATAAAACTTTTCCTTTATTAACAGTTTATCAGTCTAGAAACTTTAAATATGGAAATTAAATAAAAAATAAAATCCGTCTCGTTAAACAATCTCCTTCATTTTTAACTTCCTGCTTCATGAGTCTTTAAATCCAAGAG